ACTCATTTCAATTTGCTTCATAAATTTCATTAGTTAGAAACCATTTAAGGTTTAGCTGTCAAATTGCTTAATTAATTTAAATTTGAACTATGGCCTATCCACGCCAGGGGATTCGATCCTTCAATCCCCAGGTTGGTTATCCGGTTTGGGCTAATGTCGAACCTGACCCATGTTGTTGAAAATTCGTGGTTGATGTGCATATTATGGTGTGGGCCTTTGGTCCCAAGAGTGAATTGATGATGGTTTCGTTAGTAATTAAATGGCTAGCTATGGGCTTTGAGTTAAGCAGCGGGTTCAAGCTAAAAGGTGATCCCTTTTGTTTGAACCTGGACTTGAGCTTGAAGCCCGATTTTTATAATATTAATTAATTAGAATTTTTTTTATCTTTTAGAGACCAAACAAATATAGAAAGATATAGTTGCGTTTAGGTTTGCCCTTTTAAAATAAATAAGACGAGCCTCGCCATAAAACTACAAATTGCGGGGCTCTCAATAAATATTGTCTAAATTTCTTAGAATTCGGGATGGGCCGTTTAGCGAATTTCACGGCCTTCCCTAAAGACAATAATGCATTAGACGCTTTAGGAGCGTTCTTAATAAATTACCCTCTTAAACTCGGGTGCGCATTGATGCGACCCAAATCCAAATCTCAACGGAGTCAAAATGTATTAACAACCACGGGTGCATTGAGTGCGACATGGTTCGAGACGCATTTTCATGACGTTGCAAGTTATTTTTTTTTAAAAAAAAAATAATGATAAAAGCGGTTTATAAATAAAAGGCACATAAGTTAGCATGTATTAAAATTGGATAAAATCTAATACAACAGTTAAGCGACCGTGCTAGAACCACGGAGCCCGGGTTAACAGAATTCCTTACTCGGATTTCTGGTTCGCGGACTGTTAACAGAGTCATAAATTTCCTCGTTTCGGGATTCAACCGGTGACTTGGGACACCATTAATATCCCAAGTGGTGACTCTGAATAATTAATAATTAAATCCCGTTCTAATTGTCCTTTAAGTGGAAAAACTCCCTTATATTTATGCCCTTACGGGGTATAGGTGAAAAAGGAGCTGTGACAAGGGAACCACGTCAATGTTCGGTAGGTCTCCTTGATTTTGATGGATTTGATTTTCATTGTTTCCCAATGTGTTATCACTGTTATTGTTGTTGTTATTGTTTGACATGTTGATAAAGACGAATAAAACGTAACTTCAAAGAAAAGATTATCAGATTCCCGGTAACGGAACCAATTTGTTTAACCAAAAATGTGATTCTTTGGTCAAAGCTAAAGACAAATAGAAATTCGGGCTACTGATAATCAGGAGACGAAAAAGAAATAATAGACTTTTTGAGAATGACAAATAAGCAGTAAATAGGTTTGTATTCCAATGTAATGTTTATGATCTCCTCTTTTTATAGTTGATTCTAAGTAAAGGAGTAATACCTTAGTCTTAATGAGACAATTATGAGCAATAAATGACATTAAATAAGACGTTACATAATCATTCCTATTTAATACCAATTCTCTAACGTATTGGGTATTTAATATTGAATTTGGACTCCTTTTTGTCATCATATCCATGTCTTCAGTGTCTTCTGATCTCTTGGCTTTAAATGACTTAAATAGGTACGAAGCTTGTATTATTCGAATTGTCTCTCGTGCCTATTTAGCTTTTCTTTCCCCGTATCTGTTATCATTCGTGCCTCTTAACTGATAATCATGTTTTGACCATTCCCCGTGTCATGTCACGTCACCTTCAATGTAAATTCAGTCTTTTCCCAATACGGGGGTGCCAGACATTCAAGGACTCCATTGCAATCGCCGGTTTGACATTGACCACGGCCAGATGCGTCAAAATTGCAATTGGTTCGGCCCCAGATACGTTTTCCATTTGGACCGTTTGAAGGTTGGAGTGTCCATTTTCCACCGTAGTCGAGACGTCGACCGCCACCAGGAATTGCTGCTGCCCATACGGTAAAAGGGCAGTTGTTTCGGATGTCGATCGTTGTAACTGCTTGTGTTGAGAAAAGCTGATAAGCCACAACAGAGAGGAATGTGAAGAAGCTGATCATCTTTACTTTGGGAGGGTTATAAAAAACAAAGATGGAGAGGGACTTTTCTAGCTAAGGAAGAATAGTCAATGGAGCTTATTGGTCAATAAATGGTGCTAAACTTCGTCCTAGAGAGGAAGACTAGACTTTTTGACTTCAGTACCGGCAAATTTTTAATTACCAAAATAGCCACAACTGTTTATTGAAAAATAGTTAAAAGTAATCAAAATTTAGTTATTTTTCCTTGTAAAGATAAAATCTTAATAAAAATACTCTTTAAACATCCAAAAAAGTTCCAACATAACATGTTGAAGTTTAAATTTTTTACATATGAAATTCCAGCATAATGTGTTGGAATTTTATATTATATTGAAACTTTCCGTGTTTCCGCAAAATATTGAGTATTTTTCAGTATTGCAAACGCTGGCTATTTTTTAATTACTAGTCCGAAAATTTGCTAGCCCGTGCTATTTTACTAAGAAACAGATGTAACGGGTTTGCTACCGGTACATTTATTTATATTTATATTTATACATGTATAATTATAAAAAATTCAAGGAATATAAATTGTAATCTCATACTTTTCAAAAGTGCAATAAGTTTAATTAAACAATCTTAAAGATCAACAGTATAAAGTTTATATACTAGGGTTGGGCATATATCGGGTAAAAATCGATAATCCGAACAGTTACTTTTTTATTGGGTTATCGGTATCGGGTTATTGGGTTAACGGTTCGATAATGGTTTAGAATTTTTTTTCTATTGGGTTATCGGTATCGGGTTATTGGGTTAACGGTTCGATAATGGTTTAGAATTTTTTTTCTATTGGGTTATCGGTTCGGGCCTCTGTTTGCCAATTTTTGTTAATGGGTTAACCGATAACCCAATAAGAATTAATAAAATTACGACTTTATCCTTAAGTATATACAAATGTCATGGCTTCAGTTCATTCTCTCATATTCTTTCTCAACCCCACTCTTCAGTTGCTTCATCTTCATTCTTCATAGACCTTACTAGTTACTCCTAGCATAAGTCTTTAGTATGCTACATGTGAATTCTTCTCTTTTTTGCTTAACTCCGGTGAATTATCTTTTCTTTTTTGCTTAACTCTAAATTGAGTTATCTTATCGGGTAAACTGATAACCGAACCGATAATGATCAATAACCGATTAACCGATACCCGATAACCGATAACCGATATCTTATCAGTTTGGTTATCGGTTTATCAAATTTATAAACCGATAACCGATATGCTAAACCGATAATATTCATAACCGAACCGAACCGACCTATTGTCCACCCCTATTATATACTAGATCCATTTCTAATTAGTGGATGGCATGGTGCTTTAATAGAGATGATAAATCAAGGTGGAAACAGAGGAGTAGTATTTAGCGGCAAACACTTACAACCCTTGATCCTCTACATCAACCGTTTTACGGCCCCTTGATAATCATAAAAAATTAAAGATAATTCTCTTTCTCCATTTCTTTGGACATTGCCATAACAATAGTAATTACATAAAAGATTTTGAGAAAACTACCCTACGTAGCCCCTCAAAATTTTAGTAACCCATGTTTTTCCATATTTATATGAAATGGCCCTTCGCCCCAAACATATTACATTTAATAGACTGAAATGTCTATTTTGTATATTTTTCGTATAGTGACAGTCTATTTTGTATATTATTTGTATAGTGACAGTCTATTTTATATATTTTTTTATAGTGACAGTATATTTTATATAGTGACAATCTATTTAGTATATTTTTTGTATAATCTGTCTATTTTGTATATTTTTTTGTATAGTGACAGTCTATTTTATATATTTTTTTATAGTGACAGTATATTTTATATAGTGACAATCTATTTAGTATATTTTTTGTATAATCTGTCTATTTTGTATATTTTTTGTATAGTGTCAATCTATCTTATATAAATTATATAGTGACAGTCTATTTTGTATATTTTTTTGTATAGTGACAGTCTATTTTGTATATAATTTGTATAGTGACATTCTATTTTGTATTGTGATAGTCTATTGTATATAAATTTTACATTGACAATCTATTTTGTATATTTTTGTATAGAGACAATCTATGTTGTATATATTTTGTATAGTGACAATCTATTGTATATAGATTGTATAGTGACAATCTATTTAGTATATTTTTTGTATTGTGACAATCTATTTTGTATATATTTCATATATATACTATTTGGAAGATCAATCATAGTTGTATATTAATCTTACTATGACATATAATCTATCACAACTCTTCTTGTAATATAGTTCTATGATCCTCATTCTTTTGAGAATTCGAAGTCTATTGTAACAAATAAGCACTTGAAGTAATGTACAGTTGAATGGAATCAGCTTTCAAGCTTGAAGCTTTTGAGGCGTTCTAGTATTTTTGTCCCACGCTTATACAAAACGAAGAAGAGAAATAAATAAAAGAGGGTATAAAACATTAGCATATTCCAAATGTTTGCCTACCTTTGGCAGGAGGTAAGTCTAAATGTGGCTCCAAACACCTTGCAACTACAAGACACCAGCTTATTTTACAGAATTGGTTCTCTTTATTTGAACCTTATCCCTTCTGATTCGATATTTGCGAATGAAATTTTAAACTGTAACTTCAAATAGAGATAGTAATTGAAGTAAATAAGTGGATTTGTTAGGTTGTAATTCGATTGATAAACAACCCTTAAGAAGAGATTTCGATTCTCGTAAATGAATCTGTGTACGTGCCGCCGTCGGTGCCGGAGAAAGTAATTAAGAAAGCGAATTGCAACGGAGTCTAGAAAGTGAAAGAACTATGAAGAAGATCAAACTGGAAGATTAAAAGCCTTTAAACTGCTGTGGATTTGGATCTGAACCGCTGCAAATGAATGATCGAGTGATGTTGAAATATGAACGAGCTTCTCGTGTTTGGTAATTATTGTGGATTTGCCCTTCTACTTGTTTTTAGGCTGACTTGTATGGGTCAATTTGCGGCTACCGGATAATATATGTTTGGCTCGATGGACTATTGAGATATCTTATTTAATTAATATTTAGTCTTTATTCTTCATAACCAGATAATTAGCTGGAGCAGTTAGACAGTTAATTAGTATTGGTTTGTTAATAGTGCTAACTGTACAAAATTGTATAAATATACTTTGTATTGTATCAATAAGATTTGAGCTTCATTTTCATCGATTCCACCTTCTTTCTTCCTCTCATTCTCTCTCAGTTCTAGAAGCTTTACTACTCACCATGGCAGACATGATTGAGCTCGGTTATTCTGATTTTTAGTGACGATCTTTACATGGTATCATAGCAAGGTTAATCTCGCACATCAACTTCCCCTACATTTCGTCATTTTGATCTGTCTCCTTGTTCGATTTCATTAGGTTTCAAAATTTGCCCTAATTTTGGGAATTTCATTTTATTCATTAACGATTTGCTGTCAAAATCGTGATAGTTGAAAATTCCTCTGTTTTCTTAATCAATTTCGTTCGATCAAGGCCCTCCTTGACCAAGACGATTCCACTGGAGTGGAAACTACCGCCACTGTTACTGCGATAAGCATAGGAATTGATCCAAGTAACCCTCTATACCTTCACCAGTCTGATAATCCAGGAGCTATGCTTGTTTCAACTGCTTTTGATGGAATAGGGTACAGATCTTGGAGGAGAAGTGTATTGAGGGGGCTATCTGTGAAGAACAAATTAGGCTTTATAAGCGGTGAGTGCAAACAACCAGATCCTTCGTCACCACAATTTCAACAATGGGAGCGATACGATAATATGGTGACCCCTTGGATCCTAAATTTACTCTCTAAGGAAATCGCAGACAGTGTAGAATATGCAAATGATGATGTTGAACTTTGGAAGGAACTGGAGGATCGCTATGAACAAGATAATAGAGCTAGGTTGTATCAAATTCAGAAGGAAATCAACGATCTTTCCCAAGGTACTCTTGATATCACTACTTACTATACTAAGTTGAAGAAGCTCTAGGAAGAGCTTACTACTTTGAACAAAAGGACTCAGTGTAGTTGCACCTGTAATTGTGGTGCAAAAGAGAGTATGTACAAAGTTGAGCAAGATAGGAGGCTGATACAATTCCTTATGGGACTGAATGAGGTATATACAGTAGTTCGAGGCAGCATACTTATGATGAATCCATTGCCAAGCTTGGCACAAGCATTTTCACTTCTAGTTCTGAATGAAAAACAAAGAGAGATTAGGTCAGTTAGCCACTTATCTGTTGAGTCAACCTCATTGAATGTGAGTGCATCAGGACAGGGGTCTTTAAGACAAACTTCCTGTCATGACCCGGATTTTCCACCGTCGGGACCGTGATGGCGCCTAACTTTTCAGATGTTATGCAAGCCAACAGTTAAAGATTTAATACGCTAACCCTTGACCAAATCAGTAAATAACAGCAATTAAATCAAAATAGATTAAAAGGAGTGCAAAACTTCATAATAACCTAAGTACTTATACGCAACTACCCAGAAACTGGTGTTACAATTCACGAACTTCTAAGAGTCACTACAAATACTGGCTGAAAGAAAATACAACTCTCTTTGAATTAAAAAGAAACAGTAAACTGGAATAACTGGAAGGGGACTCCAGGGTCTGCGAACGCCGACAGATCTACCTTGGGTCTCATGTTGGATTGAAGGCATCGACTCAAATCAGGTCAACACGGCCCGGTACCGAAATATGCACAGAAAGTACAGCGTGCAATATCAGTGCAACCGACTCCATATACTAGTAAGTGTCGAGCCTAACCTCGGCGAAGTAGTGACGAGGCTAAGACAAGACACATGCATAACTTGTGCAATTAAATAATATACTAGCAGAATACAACTAATAGAAGCTAAACAAAATTTACGGGAGAGGAAGCACGCTAATGGGGGTTGCAACAGCAATAGAGGAAATTTGGACATCCAGTGCACCTTGAACCGGTAATAATAAGTAAACACAGCTAACAGAAAATGCACGACATCACCCTTCGTGCTTTTACTC